TAATCCTACAGATCAATGATCATGGGAGATCTTTCCATATTCTGATATCTTCTTTAATTTATTTCTCCACTGTCCTAAAGTTTCTATCATGAAAGTCTTTCACTTTCCTAGTGTTACTGCAATATATTTTATATTATTTGAGGCTATTATAAAAGGTGCTGTTTCCCATATTTCTTTCTCAGTCCATTTGTCATTTGTATACAGTAGGGCAACTGGTATTTATGAATTAATTTTGAATACAACTTTACTGAAAGTGTTTATCAGTTGTAGGAGTTTTCCAGTGGAATTTTTAGGATCACTCATTTATACTATGTATAATCTGCTGCAGTAAAGATACTTTGATTTCTTCCTTTCCAATTTCTATCCCCTTGATCTTCTTTATTGCTCTATCTAAGACATAGGTATGGAGAAAGAGGCAAACTTCTCTTGTTCCTGGGTTTTAGTGGAATTGTTTTGAGTTTCTCTCCCTTTATGTTGATATTGGCTATGGGCTCCCTATAAACTGTTTTTGTTATATTTAGATATGTTTTTTATATCCCTAATGTCTCCAGGATTTTTATCATGAAGGGGTGTTGAATCTTGTCAAAGGTCTTTTCTGTATCTAATGAGATTATCATGTGATTTTTGTCTTTGAGTTTGTTTATATGGTGGATTACATTTATCAATTTACATATTGATATAATTACAAAATTACATACCATCTCTACATCTCTGGGATGATGCCTATTTGATTATAATGAATGATCTTTTTGATATTTTATTGGATTTAGGTTGCAAGTATTTTTTTAAGAAAATTTGCATTTATGTTCATAAAGGAAATTGGTCTGTATTTCTCATTTTGGGGGGGCTTTATGTAGCTTTGGTATCAGGATATCTGTGGCCTTGTAAAACAAATTGGACAATGTTCTGTCTGTTTCCATTTGGGGGAATAATTTGAGTAGTATTGGCATTAACTTTCCTTTGAAAGTCTGGTAGAATTCTGTGCAAAAACTGTGTGGCCCTGGACTATTTTTTTGGTGGGGAGATTTTAATAACTGCTTCTAATCTTACTAGGGGTATTGTGTCTGTTTAAATGGCTTATGCAATCTTCATTTAGCTTTAGTAGGTGACATGTATTGAGAAAATTATACATTTCTTTCAGACTTTCCAATTTGATGGAGTACAGGCTTCTAAAGTATATCGTTATGGTTCTCTGAACTTTCTCAGTATCTGTGATTATTATTTTCATCTCTATTTTTTTTTAATTTTTGTATTCTCTTTCTGCCTTTTCAGTACTTTGGATAAGGGCTTATCTTATCAATCTTACTAATTTTCACAAAGGACCAACTCTTTTTTTCAATGATTCTTTGTATTTTGTGGTTGTGTCTTTATTTTCTTTATTTTGTCCCTAAGTTTGATTATTTCTTGCCATCTACTCCTTTTGTCATGATTTCTTCATTTTAGTCTAGAGCTTTCAGGTGGGCAGTAAAGTTACTATGATTATATCTCTCCAAATATTTTATGTAGACACTTAGTGTTATGAAGTTGACTTGTAAAACTGCCTTGGTTATATGCCCTAAGTTTGAGCATGATCTGTATTTATTTTCTCCCCATTTTAGAAAAACTTGAATTTCTTTCTTGACTCGTTTTTCATCCAGTAGTGACTTTTTCAGCTTCCATGTGTTTGTAAATGTTCTGTTGTTATTGATATCCAGCTATAGTGCTTGGTGGGCAGATAGGATGCAAGGTGTTGTGTCAATTTTCTTATATTTCTTCAGACTTGCTTTATACCCAAGTATGTGGTCAGTTTTGAAGAAAGTTGAATGAGTTGCTAAGAAGAAGGTATATTCTTTTGTATTTGGGTGAAATGTTCTGTAAAAATCTGTTAGATCCGCTGGCTCTGTAATGTTAGTTATCTCCAGCATTTCTCTGTTTAGTTTTTGTCTGGATGACCTGTCTGTTGATGAAAGTGGAATATTGAAGTCTTCTACTCTCAGTGTGTGAAGATCAATATATGATTTAAGCTATAGTAGTGTTTCTTTTATGAATGTGGATGCCTTTGTGTTTGGGGCATAGATGTTAAGAATTACAATGTTCTTTTGGTGGATATGCCCTTTGATGAGTATGAAGAGTGCTTCCCTTATCTCTTCTGATTGGTTTTGGTTTGGTCTATTTTGTCAAATATTAAAATTGCTATACCAGCTTGCTTCTTAGGTCCATTTTCTTACAATATCTTTTTCCATCCTTTACCCAGAGGTAATGTCTATCCTTGATGTAAACGTATGCTTCTTGGGTGCGTCAAATTAATGGATCCTGTTTTAGCACCCATTTGGTTAGTCTGTTTGTCTTTTCATTATGAAATTGTGACCATTGAGAGTTACTAATGAGAAGTGTTAGTTTATTCATGCTATTTGTGTGTGTGTGTGTGTGTGTGTGATTCCCATCTTTTGATTTTCTTTTCTGTAATTTTTTTTTTTATTTCTTATGTTTTCTTGAGTAGGGTTAACCTCTTTAGGTTGGAGCTTCCCTTCTAGTGACTTCTGTAGGGCTGTACTTGTAGATAGATATTGTCTGCTTCCTCATAAAAAGAACAGATTTACCTGTGAAGGAGATTTATTTTACTCTGTTTGAAAACCATGTCCTTTTTTTTTTAACCATGATCTATTTATTCCTGATCATGTTCTGTAATGAAAAGGAACACCAAGATACTTGGAAATGTTTTGTCTGTGTAAATGTAAAGCTTGTTTCTGAGCAGTTATTCCAATGGGCCAGTGCTGATATTTCAAAGTTAGGTGATGAATAACTATGAGTTCCGTGCTACCACTTCAGTACTTTTACTCAAAAAGTAATATGGAAGAGTCCTTGAATGTGTCCAGAACTGCACCAGAAAAATTCAATATTTGTGTAAAATTTCATAGGATCAGCTGTTTAAACAACAGCCTGATTAAATATCAATACATGTTTTGCAAGCATTGTAAATTTTACCCCATTGTTATCTGATAATGCAATTTTCACTCAGTAAACAGGTTTTTCTGAAAACAACCAAATTATAGTATACTGTGTCCTTGTCCCAGAATGTAAGAGTGTTCCATCAAAACATAACAGGGAAAATAGCAAGCCCTCGGCTTGCCTTCTCTTATATAGTCCAAAGACTACAAAGGTCACCTGTTTGATTTTAAACTCTTTTCAGTCCAGGCATGCAAGAGAATTTATGCCTTTGCTTCATCTTGTGAAGGGAACAAATATACTTCCATGTGACAAAATACAAATTCTGAAGAAAACAAAAAGATAGTTGGGAGTTTTGCTTCTTATTGAAATGTTCCTTTTCTTTATTATGCTTTCTCCTGATTTACTTAAAAGGTTATTTTGTGTAAGTGACATATTTTCCTTTGGCCATTTGACTTCAATTACCTCCTCATAGTTACTTAGAAAATACGTGACTAATTATGGTCATTTGAGACTTAGTACACTGTGGATATCTATTAATTTGAAAATCTGAGATGGATGATAAAGCCTCCCCAATAAGAACAGTGTCCTGTCTCCTTTCTAACCACCCTATGAAGGGGTGTGGAAGGGCAAGTCTGATAACCCAGCAGTAGTCATTGCTCTAGTGACACACACAGCATCATTAGCAAAAACTACTAGCCCAAGTAGGTGAAATAACTAGCAAAACCAGCAAATTACCAAAGAAATATTATGGATTTTCTGAGATAAACCATCTCTAAATGTATTAGTACTATAAACTGTGAGATGTTGTAGGGAGGCAGGGAAGGCCTGAGTAAATGTGTTGTTGATGCGGGCACAGTCATGTCAAGCACCCCAGTGCCTCAGCCTCATGGGAGAGGAGGCTTCCCTGGGTGAGACATAGAGGGATGAGTGTAAATATTTACAGTGTGAGTAGAAAATGTCTATCATAGCTCTCCCTACCTCTGCCAGGTGTTTAGAGCCTGAAGTCTGCTCCCCTGCCCTTACCAAGAGGGTTTAAGCCACTATTGAGATTTTTACTGCCTGTATGCAATGACCCCTCCTGCCTACATACAATAAACAGGCTGAGCACCCAGGTGCTGCAGCTTCTCCCTCAGAGAGCTCAGTCCTGATTCCAGCATATCCGTATCCATATGTCTATCTCTGTCCTTTCTTCATTCCTTTGTCTCCCCACTTAGACCAAGCTCTGGAGCCACGCAAGGTCGTGGCACAATGTTATTGATTCAGCTTCGAAATTGACAAATTGATAAACAAATGGAGAAATACAACTCTGTAAAGTCTCTGATTAGGGGTTCAGGATTAATTTTCCTCATTATTCATACTAAATTGAAAATCTACGCCTGGCAGTAGTGTCGCAAGCCTTTAATCCCAGCACTTGGGAGGCAGAGGCAGGAGGATCTCTGTGAGTTCGAGGCCAGCCTGGGCTACAGAGTGAGTTACAGGAAAGGCTCCAGAGCTACACAGAGAAACTCTGTCTTGAAAAACAAACAAACAAAAAAACCAAACAAACAAAAAAAACAAACAAAAAAACCTATATTGTTCTTTCCCAGACAGAAACAAGTTAAATTAATTTCAAAATCAAATTACCACTTGTCTTATTTTAGCTTTGAAGAACTGCCTTTATTTTTATAAATAAAAACTTTTTCACCTATTAGGTTGTTTTCCAACTGCTGCCACACCTGTGATCTTCACCCAATATAGAAGTAGAAAATGCAGTGATAAAGCATAAAAATTTCATTTCTATACCTTTTACTTTTGACCTGAGTATAAGAAACACAACTGTATATATTTCAACGTCACATAAAAATATTTCATAAGAACACATTTAAAAATTTGGTTTAATTTTTTGTACCATTCTGTTGTACTTTTTTGCAACAAAGAAAAAAGAAAACAAAAAATAGTAAATGAAAAAAACATGTGCTCACCCGACTGCCAAGAACTCTCCTTATGGATCTGTGCAGTGCTTCTAATTTCTAATGGTTGCTTTTATAGCTTTTGGAGTGTTGCCATTGAATTTTCCCTTAATTTATTGTCAGATGGTTTCCAGTGGATTCATCTCAGTGGTTTGCTGAACTCCCTCCAGCAACCTGCTCTGAAGTCACCTGAGCTGAAGCCAGCAGAGGACTCTTGACCTATGTCCAAGGGCTGTTGAGCTCAGCTCAGGGAATTGTCCATCCTGACTGCCAGAGACCATCCAGGTAAGGCCTTCCACTTCCAAAGAGTTCCTGGCCCTCTCCCAACATATTGGCAACCTGACTACTGGATGCCCCAGTGAACTGGCAGAGGAGAATTAGTTAGTTGCTGCCAATGGCAATGTGGCTCAAACTACTCAAAAGTGACACCCTCTTTCACAGTGGTACAGGGAGAGTAATGTAGTCATGGTTGTTTAAAAAAAAAAAAAAAAAAAAAAAAAAAAAGGCCCAATGTCCAACAGGGAGAAAGCAACTACTCACCACAACCCCTGATCTTACCACCCAGCAGCTTGACAAATTAGAGCTGAGTTAACTGATTTTTAAGTATGTATTTCTCCATCTATCCAGTTTTTCCTCTGCCAAAATGTGTCTTCAATTCCAACCCATCATCTATCAGTCAGTGTGTTTTTATTATTTTAGAGGTTTCTGTCTCTTTTGGCTCGCACAGACAAATAACGCAAATTACAGTCTTATTAGTAGCTCATCTACATTTCTAAAGACCTACATAAGAATAGACTCCCCACAACTTCAGTTTATGAATGTTTGTTTGGCAAGCTTTTAATAAATAGAAGTCAAGTATGTTATGAAACTCCTTGTGTGAAATGACACAATTCTCTAAAATTATTAAAAGTAAGTTCCCTGTGCAGACCCCAGGATCATTTGATTAAAGAAAATACTAATAGAGAAGTCACACACCGGAATCCTCTCTTTGTGTATTTTCATGAACAAGAGATAAGATATGATTCCCCAGTTCTTTGTCCTCTAGATTGTTCTATGAATTTACTTGAGAGTTAGGAGTTAATATTTTGTGGAACTTAGAAGGAATCTTACATCCTATTAATATTACCTGTAATTAGAGATTTGATTTTGAAGGTAGTACATAGTTTCCTATTTTCAGTCCATCAGTTGTCTCAATAGAATGTATAACTGAAATTATAAAAACTCATTGTTTTTATATTTTTACATAATTTCTGACTTATAGGAAAGGTATGAGAACATTATATAATTTAAATATATGTTGACATATATTTAAAAATTCTATTTCTACCTCTATTAATGTATTCACATCATTTCTTTTTGAAATCTGAAAATAAATTATGAGTGCTAAAGCGAAGGCAAAATTGGACAAAAGAGAAGTTGAATTATAAAGGATTTTGTCTCAATTAATAGAAAGGTCTTGCCTTTAACCAGAGCTCCTGGACAGTACCCTGTATTCTTTGAAATTTCTCAAAAAGAAGTGATGTTTTTTTCTAGGGTACCCTAAAACACTGGTAATTTATGCAGCAATGTCATTGACTCAAGGTGGGGACTGACCACCTAGAAAGGCCAACCATGTGATTACTGGCTTAAGAAAGATAGAGCTGTGGATTGACTTTAACCATATGGGCAATGGTACGTGCCTTCTTGATGAACCTCAAGGAAAACTGGAAGATATTCCCAAAGTGTCCTTGGTTCACATTACTATTTCAACACTTGGATGTAAGAGAGGAGACTGTGACCTTCCTCGATCTGATGACAGATGTAATTTTAGAACTGTTTAAGACTTCATTTTTGTGCTTTGGATCTAATTTGTGACATTTCTTTGTAGTAAAAGGCACATATAAAACTTTCAATGAATTCTTTGAGATTTTCTAGCAAAGTATTTAACTTGATGGTAATCTTAGGAAATCCTGAGTTTGGGGCCAAAGGAAAACATCCTATCCGTCCTCTAAACATTTTCTGGAGAGAGCCGCAAACAGATTAGCTAGAAGAAAGAACAAAATTATTACATGCACAAGACAAGTGTATGAAGTAATCACCTGTGATACCAACATGACCAATAAGTCCATATCCCCTCTTCATAGAGCGGGAGGGGAATGGGAAGTGTAGACAATCTTTCAGGAAAAGTAAAGGTTTGTTAAGAATGCAGTGGGCTTGGAGAAACATATGATAACCTGGGACTAAAAAAAAAAAAAAAAAAAAAAAAAGTCCCTGTCCATCTACAGCACGTTTTGTATCAGGTGACACTTACATTTCATACAGAAGGCACGGGCCTCAAGTGATGGTACTTCAGAATAGCCATTTTCAACTGGGCTATCTATTTACCCACATATATTATGAGAAACTTACTATATGTTAGCCTATTTATTCAAGGTCTTACAAGGTGCCAGGCCCTGTGCTGGGCACTAGGGTTATGAGGGTCAGTAAGTTTCCACCCAAGCCTTAAAAGAGAGTGTTCTGTGTTGCTTATTTTGTGAAGAGCACATGGGAGAGATGGTGTGCAGTGTTCCAGTACCTTCTCCTCATACAGCTGCAGAGCATGAGCTGTGAATGGCCAATTTTTTTTCTCACAGTTTCAAGAGAAGGAAAAATATAGTTCACCTAGAGGCTCAAGTAGCCTTTGGTCTCTCAATTTGTGCCATATCATGATCCAAGGAAGTCAAAAGAGTACACAGTATTCATAATACACTGATGAGGACAGTTGTGCTAAGTGCGTTGTATTTTTTTTTAAGCCAGTCACAACCTTGTAAGGTAAGCAAAACTGTTATTCTCATTCTCAACTGAGGAAAACAGACAGAACTGGAGAGGTTTAACAACTTACCAGAGTTCAAATTATCAGTGGTAGAGAGGGATTGAAAACCCAGAAGTCTGAGGTCAGAGCTTAATTCTCAGCCAGTAAGGTATAATAAGAAGAGCGAGACCTGTGATCTTACCTCACCAGGATCTTAAAATATGAAATACAAAAATATTCAAAGTGCATTTGTGAGACATCACAAAAGCAAGTAAAATACATAGCCAGCTAATTAAGGGCGTCCTCTGGACCAGGGAGGAAGCTTTATTGATTGCCTGGCAGGATCCTCAAGGTTCACACTTATCCTCTTGACTCCCCATACTCCTGCAGGCCATTGCGCAGTCAGGGAGGACTCTGCTCTCCCCTCCCAAGGTTTAGGAGTACCTTCTACGTAGTTTGTACCACAGACTCACTCAGGAGCCTCCCTTTTAAACCAAAATCTATATCTGCTGGGTTAAAACACTTTGAAGGCAGGCATTGTTCATGTTCTTATCCCTACAGCTTAGGGGAGTGGAACTGATTTGCAAAATGAATAAATTAATATACATTCCGTACATTTTTTTTCTAAGAGAGCACTATCCACAAGTCCTTTGCCTTGTCACTGTTATATAGTGAGGGTCCAGGCAATGAACAGCAGCCCCTGTGTGGAGGCCCACAGAGGCTATCTAGTGAGACCTTACTCAGGGTCAGAGAATCTGAGCTTGCTGCATAAGGAGATGATTTGACCACAGGCATGCTTACCAGGTATTTGGAAGGGTCTATACCTGGCTGTATGGTGTGCTTTGATCTTGCAAGTGGGAGGTCTTTTGTCTTTCCCCTTGGCATATTACAAAAAGCCCTTTTGAGTAAATTAAGGGTCTATTGAGTATTGACTAAGGCCCTCCTGACGCTATCCTGTGTCTCTGTCTTTCTCCTAGTCACCTAGGCCTATCTTTGTGATATTTTCTCATTTCTCTCTCTTCTACCTAAGAACCCTTTGAAAGGTGGGAGCAGGTCAGAGCTGGACTCCCACAGTCCCCCACACTCCTGGTCTCTTTGCTTCTTCATTTCAGCATCTTCACCTGCACTGAAACCAGCAGGAAGCAACAAGTGAGATGGAAGAACAGTCTATGTCATAGCAGAAAGAAATAAAATAATCAAATGCCCTATTGTACAAAAGAATGTAGGGCTGGGGTCGGAGGGCAGGGAGACTAACAAACAAGCAAGTTCCAGGGAATAGAAAGCTATGTTTGAGCCAGACCTGGTGGCACATGCCTTTAATCCCAGCACTCAGGAGGTAGAGGCAAAGCGTCTCTGGGTTTGAGGCCAGCCTTGACTATGGAGTGAGTTCCAGGACAGCCAAGGCTACACAGAAAAACCTTGTCTTGAAAAACAAAGAAACAAAAACAACAAAAATAAAAAAGCTGAGTTTGAGCTCCCATGCCATAAGATAAAACATTCCCATAAACATGTCTTTGATCACAGTTGGATTTGAAATTTGAAGATTGCCTGATTGTCCCAGCATAAGCTGGTCTGAATGATGCAAACACACAAAGGAAAACCTTGCCTGCCTCTCAACAGTACTTCTATTCCTAGCAAGAGTAAATGAAATCAGTACCAGTGCAGGGTTTGCAAATGTGTAAAAATGCAAAAGTAAACATCACTAGTTTAAGCTTTACTTTGCCAGTGGTGACTGGGTTGGAATCCATCTTTCTATACTGGATTAACCTGAGGCCTATCATGGTCTGCCTGGAGACTAACGCTTCCCCACAGGACACATAGGCCCTGGAGTGGCCTGAAAGCTTTGCCACCAAATCCAGCATCTCAGGGCACAATATTTTGCACACGCAGCTTGATCTCACAAGCTTCCTTTGAGCATCTGTGTGCCAATTCGAGGGTGAAGAGGTGGATAATTGGGTGGTAGAATTGGCTCTTCTGTGACACAGCATTAAAAAGAAATTCTTTCACTGTGAGCTAGGGAGGAAAAAGAAAACCAACCAAACAAAACCTTGTATGTACAGCAAATGAAGCTAACAAAAAAACTGAAGAACAGTGGAGCTTTGTGTGGATAGGATAGCATCACTGACCAGAAAACTCATGGGTAATGTTTCTGCTGTGATGTTGCTATCAATTTGTGGTGTAAAATGTAAGCTAGGGCTGGAAGCACTGCTCAGTAATAGAGCCCTGCCTAGCTGCGAGAAAGCTTAGGCTTCATCCCCAGTAGAAAGATAAGAGGGAGGGAAGGGATGAAGGGAGGGAGGGATGGAGGGATGAAGGGATGGAGGGACAGAGAGAGAAGGGTGCAAACCAAATAAGGCCTTTCCTTCCCAAGATGCTTTTGGTGATAGTGTTTATCACAGTAATGGTAACATAACCAAGATACTGAGTAAGAAGAGACTATGGTAGAAAGGATTATTTAAAATTTCTTAGATCTTACCTTTAATATGGAATAAGAGGAAACTAATGATTGGGCGTGCAGGTGTAGGCATAAACGGTAAGAGCAGGCTGTTATTCTATCCTGTACTTACATTAAGAAATGACTTCCGCACAATCTTTTGTTTCAGTATTTCACAGTATTTTTTTTATATTTTTTCACTGAATTTTTAAACGAAAGCAAAGCATTTCTAGATTACGAACCTTTGCAATTGCCGTATGTACTGCCTAGATGTCCAGATAACCTTGTAAACTCCTATGTAGTTCATTTAAGCTACATCACTAATAATCTTACTGCTCCTTAAACCAGACAATAGGAAGAGAAATCTGCCTAATGGAGAGTCATTTATTTCCGAAAGATAGATACTCAAACCAAACACTACTTTTTAAATAATATTTACAAAAATTACAAATCATATCAAACACTAATTTTTAAATTTTCATGGTGGGCCAGGCATCGATGTACTAGATACCATGGTATATCTGAGAAAGAATATATATACCATTTCGCAAGGTCTATCTTAGTAATTATATTGACTTATTAACAAAATTTCTTTTTTCTTTTTTTACTTAATAAATCTGGCTAATTAAAATAAAAATAAATTGCAAAATTTGTTAAATGAGATCTTGGCTGGTGCTGGAGACTCCCAGTAACTCAGTACTATTTTTACTCCTGAAGAAAGGGACACACATTTTAACACAGCCATTTTAGAATGCTCTCCAAATTCATCCCAAAATTTAATTGCTGTACCTATTCAAACAATGAGTTATTTCTTCTCGGAACTTAATGCTGAACTTTGGATTCACATTTTTGGCATTGACCTCTTAGGTGGCATCACGGTGGATCTATAAACTGTGGAATGCTAAAACAACATCAGAAATATGTGTTGGTCTTCTATCCCCGCCTTAACAAATCAGCAGAAATAGAGCGGCTTAACATGGATGGTATGCTTTTGTTCCCTTACAGCTCTGTAAGTCAGAGTCTGACATGGATCACCCAGGGATGAGAAAAAGGTGACGTCAGGGCTGCCTTCCTTTCTGAGGTTCTGGGGAGAATCTGATTCTGCAGTCATGTTTCTAGAATGCCCACCCTCTTGACTTCTGGAACCTTCCCTCCATCTGAAAATCACCAATGTCCCATCTCTCTTGATGCATCCTCAGGGCATATCCCTTTCTGATCACAGCAAGGAAGTGCTTTCACTTGTAAGAGTGCGTTCAATTCAACTGGGCCTGCCATAATTCGCTATGAATTAATAGTGAATAATTCATCCCACCTTGACCCCCACACCTTCATCACATCTGCAATGCCTCTTTGCGATGCCCTTGGTCCCGGGTACCAGGATAAAGGCACACTTACCTCCAGAAGATCCTTATTTGTCTTACCACCATCTGACTTTTTTGTGATGGAATTATGAATTCTACCCCATAAATACTCCTACATATACTTTAATTCATTTTTACCCACTCATTCATTTCTTCATTCTAGCTGTAGAACATTTACAAAGTACCTGTTCCAGTCGACTGGGAAGACAGCTTATTTCATTTCCTCTAGTGCATTGCTCTTAGGACTAAATGGCAGTTTAGCCTGTTTGACTTACTTTCTGCTCTTAAGGATCATAATTTCTTTTAGATTGTGGAATGTTCCCAGCTGAATGCAAGAGGAACCAAGTGTGACAATCAGCACACCATGACTGATCCTCAGTACCTGCATTAACTTTCCTGGTAGAAATGCATTTGCTTGTATCTTTAAACAATATATATATACATTCAGAAATTTAATTCTGTTCCAATATTTTAAATTTCTACAGTAATATGAAATTATAAGAAAAAGAGCAAAGTGAATTAATTGGAGTTTGAGGCCATGTAATAAGAAAATCCATATGATTTGCCAGTTTTTGAGGCCAAAATGGAGAATTATAGAGAAATTTCCCTGCAGAACTCTTGAAGCTGCCAAAGCAGACAGCCAAAATGAAGTTTATAGTCACTCATATTTTTCAACAATGTGTCTCTCATTGCCAATTCAGATATGCTTTCCCTGTGACCTTGAGAAAGGCACCTCATCGCTTATCAGTTTCACATCTAACAAAATTAGGTTAATTTCTTTTACAATAAATTGTCACCCGAATCTGTGATACACGGTTTCTATGAGTGATTGAATATACTGGATTTTCTATCATAAACCAGTAAACTGAAATAATACAGGGCTGGAGGCTATGTGCGGGACATGGATTGATAGACAAATGCCAGGAAGGATCCCTGTAGACACCCATTCCCATTCAGATTTATTCTAGCAATAGCCTCTGCTTTGCTGTCCTGTGGAAGAGCATTCCTCCCCCATGATCTGTTTCTCATGCAGATAATTCTGGATGCACTATGCACATGTAAGAGCATGTGTGTGGTTGCCTATTAATTTTTGAAGCTCATCTTTCGACAATAAAGAAGATTTTAAAAATGAAATTCTACCCTGAAATTAAACAAGAAAGTAGTTAATTGTCCAATTTGGGTTCTAGTTCTCTTTCTTGATTAGTTTGAAATCTCTAGTTAAAATTTTGCCAAAGCAAATAATTTCCTTTTAATAAAGAATACATTTTTCTAATTACCAGGAAATTGGACTGTAAGAGCTGTTTGGATCCGTATTTGAAGATTGTTTTTGGAAACTAAAATTTTAAAAGAATCAACCCATGGGTTTTGATGTCAGACTTACTTTTGTCTCAAAGCTTCATTATGCCAATACCACACTATAGCTGTAATATTTTTAACTCTTTAGTCTTTAGTTTGCTCATTGAAAACTGAGTTCTACCATATAGAGATGTGAAAAGCAAATAAATTAACAGACAGAAAAAGCTTAGATTTTACCTGAAACACAGAACAAGTTGAACCACAGGTATTGCTTAATCATTCCAATAAAACAATGACTTCTTTATTTTAAAAAAAATCATCTTTAATGGAATTGGAATAAATGAAAAAAATGCTCTTTACCAAATGTGTACCATCTTGCTATTGATATGATTTGTGGACAAAATTATTGTGAACTTTTCTTTAGATTACTTTCTTATTTTAGCCTCAGAGTATTATTTATAACAAGCATGAAAAAAAGTAAATTTACCTGGATTTCAGAAAGAAAAAAACAATACACAAACATTTTGACTTTTCTTATAGACACAAATACTGATAAACTCCCAGGCTTGACCAAACACTTGAATTTCATAGCCTTGAATGGGTCATATTTTACTGAAGCTCTACCAACACAAAGAAATTTGAGATGGAAAACCAATTTGTTTTATCAATATGGAGTTGATAAAGTGTCTGTGATCTTTGGATATCTATTCTTTAACTTTTCTAAGAAAAAAAAAAAGTTAATGCAATGTATCTCCTCTTGGGAGGAGGGAAACAAACTCTATTCCTTGATAAGAAAAAAGAGAAAGCTGGCAACACCGGTTTTTATGTTGTGCCCTATCCAGCTGACACTGTCCTTTTGGAGAAGCCAATGACTTGTTAGTACCCCTAGCAGCAGTGTGAACAGATGCGTCCCTGACAGGCGATGGATGGTCAGGGTCCATCTGGCCAGTGCAGCTCGGACAGAAATGATGTATACAGCTTCATCAGCGAATGACTGTCATCAATCCTGGGCCATGGATAGCGTAAATGACAGCTATGCTGCAGCTGAGACCCCAGGTGTGAGACTGAGGAGGACTGATTTAAGAATGCTGGGTAATCAGGAATGTATAGGCTCCTGGACTTTAATTTGTATCTTTAACCTCCTATAAATATCCGGCTTGACTGTAGCAGGTATGTGTTTTTTAGTGTCTCATCATGAAATTAGCTTCAGAATGACGGCTGTTCTTTGCTCCCTTTTAACTACTGATGACTTCGGCTCCTAAGCTTCAGGTCTAAATGCACGAGGTGTCCTGGCCATTCTGTGGTGTGCACACAACTTAATTATTATCTCATTGATTTTTCATATATTTCAATTTTCTCTTCTTTAAGTCACAGTGGCTGTCCTATTCAGATCTTTTGGTTTTATTTCCATGATTTCCTTACAGAATCATCTAAAATAAAAAAAAAATGGTTTTGTTTACCTCCTCTCCTCCACAGTGATGCCTCCACTCCTCTCAGGAATGTCTCCCTGCAACAGTCTTAAGGAGGCCTGTCTGTGCAGACCATCCACAAAGGAAACTTCCAGTTAGTACAATACCTCAGAAAGAAAACAATGTCCCACTGCTTATTCACAAACAAAAGGTACCTGATTTTTAAATGGTTTCTCTTTAGTATGCATTAAGGATCATGCATAATTTGCATCTATTAGCATTTTATTATACCACTGGCACTGGGGAAGGAAAATGAAAACAATTATTGTATCCTCAGAGGACATTTCTTTACTTATAACTATTTTACAATAAATCATTTTTGTTTATCAGTTTACTGGATGCAGTAAATGCAGAAACGGGGGACTGAGAGGGTCCTAAAAGCCTAGGAATTCACAGAGTGGATCCACGTGTTTGCACAGAAAGCTCTTCAGGTTCTTCTAACTCATTAGAACGAATTATGTCAATTACCACCAGCAGATCTGGAAACATCTGAATCTGCTGGAGAGGGATCCCCTGCCCCCGGAGCATCCAGTCTCCCACATTCTAGGGAGTTAGTGCAGTCAAGAGAGTTTCTCACAGAGGCTAACCAATGAGAATTCCTTTCTCAAAATTGGAATAAAGTTGCCTCTCAGGCTGGCCAGCAATTAGGGAGAGGGGTTTGGTGAACTCAAGACAGTATAGTCCCTTCCAGTAAAGGCTATTCCGAAAGCATCCCAGACCCAAGAAAGCTCATTTACTGTTACTATGCTTCACGGGAGAATGAGCTAGGAGACAGCGTTACAAACCAATAAGCATCCTTGCATACATTTTAAAAGCATGATGTTTTTGACGTTGTTCCACTGGTCTTGATGACAATATATCCTAGAAAAAGATAAATGAATTCAGCCATTTTCCTTCATATTTCTGGTTTAAAATTTTAAGTATTCCTTAAGTGCGCAATGCAAAAGTCACTCTATCTTAGGAGAAGAACAGAAAGTAAAAATGCATAGTCATGTAAAGTCAGAAGCAGAGAAACTGTTGGCAGAAGACTGCCCTGTTTTAGCAATAAACTTCAGTCATATGATGTGCCAAATAACTTTTGAATTATGGGATAGCATCTGAATAGTATAGTAGCTGCATGAATTAGTATAGAATAATGGGAAGAGAGGAAGGAGGGGCAGGAGAAAGGGGGAGAGACAGATGGGGGCAGGGAGGGGAAAGAAAAATGGAGAAACCTCTCTGAACTTTCAACCTGATTTCTATAGACATTTTACTCAGAGGCCTGGCAGACATCTTGAACATAGGTTCAAGAACTGAATGGTACAGCAGTCATTATTAAGAATAGCACACCAACTGATGCCTGAAGTTGGAAGCCAAAGTGATCAAATTAAAGAAGTCTGCTGTGCCAGTGAAAACGAATCTGAAAATTTCTGTTTCTGGATGTCAAGAATAAAGCTATAAGACTGAAAAGTCTTAAAAATACAATGAGCATTGTATTAATATTTTTCCATAGTTATTTGTTCTTCACACATATTTTTATGACCTTGGATGCTTGGTAAGGAAAATTTATTATAGTAAAATAGACAGTTTTGACTGTAGATATAATTGGCTTCAAGAAGTTGCTAATTGGGCTGGAGAGAGGGCTCAGCGGTTAAGAGCACTGACTGCTCTTCCAGAGGTCCTGAGTTCAATTCCCAGCAACCAACCACATGGTGGCTCTCAACCACCCGTAATGAGACCTGGTGCCCTCTTCTGGACTGCAGGGACACATGTAGGCAGAACCCTGTATACATAATAACAAATAAATCTTTTTTAAAAAAGAAGTTGCTAATTGAGTGAGTCGTCAGATGAAGGCTATGATTTCAGTATGACAAATATTGTTTGCAGATAATACCATTTATAGACATTGGTGGAAATTAAATATTTTTACAAGTATTTGAAATCTAATGAACCCATAGTTTCTATACTAATGGTTCTCATCTAGCAGTCAAGGACCCTGAAAGTCATTCTCCAAGTTTGGATGTATTTCCTTTGTCTCATAAGTAGGTAAAACTTTGGCATTCTGTCTGATAGACACAGCTAACCCAGGGCAGCATAGTCATAGTCGGGGGCCCTACCGCCTGCTGAGATGTGCTTTGCATCCCTCGGTTCTTTCTGCGCTTTGGTCTCTTCCTTTGTTTTACTGCTTCTTTTGCCTTTGTTAGAGAACTTCTCTAGGAGCCTTCCTTTGTCCGACTAATGCAAGTCCCTGGAGTCAGTGTCACCATGGGGGTCCTTGCGGTTGCCCCTTCAGCGACTGACCTGACTGAGGGGAAATGAAGAAAAGACTAATGAACTCCAGGATCTGGTGGGCCTGCCTCTCTCATACATAAAGAAGCTGAGTGTGTTTACAGAGTTGAACAGAGAGATGAGGTTGCTGCTGGCTGTTGAGGTAGGAAGAGGGTGGTTAAGGCACAGATAAAGGAGGTGGGGTTTATGGTATGCAGTGGGATCAAAGAGACAGGGTTAGTGAATCTCAGTTGAAATGGTCTTCAGACTATATCATGGGGGCAAGGGAGGAAAGCTACAAGTAAATAGTTTCTGCACACACTATTAGCATTCACATTTGGACCAGGAACCAAGGCCTGGATATTCTCATGGGGCTGAGACATTGGTCCAAGACATGGCCTTATCCCTATGAAGCAATACACACTCACTCAAGACTTCGCTTAAGCACTATGCTCTTGCTTTGCTCTGTGCCTACCTTAGTTCTCTCAAAGCCAGTTAACCCTTAGTTTACTTGGTGAGGTCTTTTTCTAGGCTCTATTTCTTGATAACATTTTTCTATTGGAAGCTGATGAAACTGCCATCAGAACTGATGATGTGTTTCTTTTAGAAGCATTGTTCTACCCTGGATGGTTTTAGTAGAGTATATTAGGACCAGAGAACTGATAATGAACATTAATTGATATAAACCTCTTTCCTGCTCAGACAGGAGTCATAGTGATACTCTAGCACAAGCCACAGGTTAGAAGGCATTATATGTATTTGAGACTAATGTACATGGTATTAGTAGTATGTCTTTTTGCCTGGAGGATATCGTGTGGGAATGTGAGGTTTAGGTGGATGGTGAAGAGTTTGATATTTCTAACAGTACTAATCTGTATTTGAAAATGAAGAGGAAACAATGCATTTCTCAGAGGTTTTGTGGGATTGTGTGAATAATAAAAACATTCAGACCCTCTACTGTCAAAGTGCAAGGCAAGTTCTTGGTTTGAGATGGAGGAAATCCAAATACGAAGCAGAAAATTTAGATGTCAAATGCTAGAAGATTTGTGGAATTTAAAAGATCAAAATATAACCTCTTTGATTTCCTTCCTCCAAGAAAAATCACTTCCTTTTTTAATGTGATGGTAGCTATATTTTCATCTAGATGGTGACATGAAGCTCAGTGGAAGACACACCAGTTGATTATCAGGGATGGAATTTAAAGCAATTTAAAATGGAGAGGAATACAAAAATTTAGATCTTAACCCTGATGCACTAAATTACAGTGTAAGAGCATCATGTATAGATCATATGTGCATGATGAGTGGGTGGCTTTTTATTCCTCATTATCCTCCAACTCACAATGCTTCATAATATAGGAACTTAATATTCATTAACTGAATTGTAAGGGTTTTGGAAAATCTAAGTCAGTTAATTTATTACATTAAGAACTATGCAAATTTTACATTATTACTTAGAGACTCAATTGTATAAATGTATTTCACTCTGCAGGTAGAAAAGATAGAGCAGACAGCAATGGCTGATTGTAGAGTGAGCACTGGTTCAAAGTGATTACTTTGGGATCCTACTCCAAATGGTGACCAACTTTAAAATGAGCAAAGGGGCATTTGGATGGCACCAAGCACATGCACCAGAAGATAGCAGCCACAAAGCACAAAAAAATGGAGACTGAGATCTTTGCATTGTTTTGAACTTTATTTGAAAATCTCAGTAAAAAGTCATAGTCTTATTCAATACTATAAGAGAGTTGTTGGTGATAGGAGTTTTTGTTTTGTTTTGCTTTGTTTTAGTGGAATTGTGTGAATAATAAATTAGCATTAGTGTCCATCTTTGGAATTATTGAATACATGTCATCTTTCCATTTCCAAAACTTAAGTAAATGGACCAAGGGAATTGGACACAGTTAGCTATTCTTTCTTTCTTTTTTTCTTTTTAATCAACCCAGTACCCTTTGGACAAGCACCAGTGAAGCCCGACATCATGGCACATTTCCCCACAATATACTCACACTCAGCCACCACCTAGGAGGAAAAGGAGTATGAGGGCTATTGAGCACTGAGAATTTCTCCAATGAATCACAATTATGTGAACACCTGTGCTAACTAAGTTTGTGCTGAGCCACTGTGAAAATTTGCAAAGTGCTCAACAGCCCTGAGAGTTTCTCATTTATTATCTCAGGTGGGGTGGTCTGCAACTGTACATTAGGTTGCAATGTGAACCATGTAAGGACATGCATTCAAGACCTCATCTAGGACCTTTTCATTCTACCTGCAGGGTACAGCTGTGCTTCTTAACAGGCCAGAGTTCTGCTTCTGAATGTCTGCCCAGAAAAGTTAAGGGCAAATACAGAATTCCTTCTCCTCCAAATGAGGTGACTTTAGAACAGGCAGCACATTTACTTGCATTTCAAGATGAATTTACCATGGGATTGATCTTGGAAAGAACCTAAAAATCAATGGGGTTTTTATGAATCTATAACCTTGTAATATATTAAATTGTAAAGGTATCAAAATTCTACAGGATGAGAAAGAATTTTACTCATAAGCATGAATTTTAAACTGTTCACAAATTCTGTCCTTGGTAGGTAAAAATGTAGGAAAACCAGTTTAGATGCCAAGAAATTTATAGACAGACTTTTTTTGAGCGAATGATTGATGAGAATTGGAAAAAATAATTTATGAATGAAGTCATCAAAATAGCTAAAGCCTTGATGTAAGCAGTGAGATTGAAATCCTTGAATATGCTACATACAGGGTCCATTGTTGATAGCAGAATAATCGTTATACATAAGTCCCAGACAGTGGCTTTCGTTGAAAGTATCTTCTGTATTAAGAACTAGAAAGTACTGTGTAGTCTCTGAATGTTAATGCAGCTTTAAGAACAGAAATTTCTGTGCATTTCTATAGAAACAATAGATAGATTTAACCGAGATCTTTCAGTGAAAATTTTATTTGCTACGTTGAATAGCTAAATTGGATAGAAGAAAAACTCAGAGATACAATACAAGGCAAGAATCTTCTCTGGCACTTATTCTAAGTATTACTCTCATGCTATCATGCTCTGCACAAAGGACGGGTACAGAGTACTCAGTGGCTAGTGCAGTTGTTATGGATAGCAAGACTGTGATATGAAACAGCAGGAGATGATGGGAAGGGAAACCCTGATGCTATGGAGCTGAGCAGCCCAATGAGTCAGTCATTACACTCCAAGGAAATGACCGTGGGTTTGGGAGCACAGGAAAGGATGTTAGGAGACCATAGATGTTTTCCATTTGGTTCTGGATTTAGCTGGGAGATAGACGAACCCTGAATGTGTAAGCTTTGATCTCCTTTCCTTAAAGCTTTTCCTCATCTGGGTTTCAGTCATTCCCTACCATTAACTGAAAAGATAACTCTTTCCCCTGCTGTTGCCCCTGTAATTAGATGAAAGGAGAAATAAGATGCACAGGAGATGCATTGCTGATCGTGTCTTGGCTTAATGCCAGAGTCTTCTAATGAAAATTAACGCTTTCTGCATCTGGGTCCATGACATTTGTTTTGAAGAGAGGAGTTTGTAAGGCTAGGTGAGTGGAGTAGGAGGGGAGAAAAAGATTTGTAGGATGGAATGGATCCATATGTCATTTAGGAACTGGGTTCATTTGGGTTTCATGAGCACCAAGCATATGTTAATCACTTGACATACACCATCTCATTCAATCCTCACAACACAATGCAGTAGTAATGGATCCTAACCCGTTTTTTCAAAATAAAAAAAATGAACCTGAAAGTGGATAACTAGCCCACGCTCATGCTAGCTTCAGCCTGGAACCCTTGTCTAGCTGTTGTCAAAACTCAAGGTTTTAACTGCTACAAAATACTGTCTCCTAGTGGCTGGAGTTTGATAAACATCCATTTGATAAGATCAGCTACTGAGGGGGGTTATGTTTGTCCTAGTGGGGATGTGATATTAACCCTTCAGGCTCAATTCTCTATCTCAAAGGCATGTAGAAAGTGTTTGTCAAAATTATCCAGATGTTTTATATCCTCCAGTTATTTTTTTTAATTTTTTTATTGAAAATAGAGTCTTCTGTCATACAATACTTCCTAATCACCACCTGTAATCTCTGCACCTATGTTCATGAAATCACCCTCATAAACACACACATATGCTTACACATGTAGACACACAATCTTACCAGGTGTTTTTATATGTGTATGTGTGTAAAATTTAATCTTTTTTCCTCTTTACCCACAAAAATAAAATACTTAACTATTCTAGCATTTTTTTCTGATATTGTAGATCACCAAATGGTCTTCATTTTTTGTTTCATTTTTCAATCATGTGCGCCCCTATGATTTTATAGCATGTGTATGAGGGCACCTGTGGATGCCAATAGAGAATGTTAGATCCCCTGGAGCTATTGATTTGAGACCTACTAGATGTGGGGACAAGGAACTGAACTCTGATCCTTTGGAAGAGCAATATACAATCTTATCAGTTGAGTCATATCTCCAGACCCAAGTCTCACTAAAGTTTTAATGAGTATCAAAGGCATAGCCAGTTACTTAGTACTTAACTGATTTATCTAGTGTCATAGATTTTTTCTACATAAAATGCCTCAAGTCAGAAAAATGACTCTAAATATGGGAATTTTGGTTCTTGTGGCAGGTTGGTGGAGTAGAGATTTCTGCAAGGCTGGCTATGCCCGGTGTTCCTTGAAATGTACTTGAAAGGTGCATGTTTACTTTGTCTCTGCATAACGCTGACCCTAGTGAACAGGTGTATTGAAATATTATTCTCTCTAAGATCAGAGGCCGCTGATAATGGCCTTAATGCTGCCATTCCTAGCTTCCTATTAAATGATGCCTCACCATGCAACATTCTGCACTTGATCTGGTAAATGGGTATTAGTGACCTTGAGTCAACAAACTTTGCTTCTCTTGACACTGAGTAGCACTGTACCATTTAAAATTCATAGTTGCATTTACTTTTAAAATGGAATTTACACTCTTTAACTGTCTACGCAGGAAGCTTGAAGAAAAGACACAGCCTTTAATGCTAGGGTAGGTGGATGCTACTGGTCACAGAAGTTATAGCTCAGCAGGCAGTACATTGAGACGGCAGAACGTTCAAGTGCATCTCACTAATTCATTCTATGGTCTCTTTAACTACCTGAGCCATGGACACAATGCACTGCTAGGTCCTTGACCATCTGCTGTGTCTGCCCATTGACATCATAATAACTGGATGTGGTCAGTAATGTTGGAATTCTCAGGACCAGCAAATTTGTTCATTGTCTCTGATGGTTCTCATCTCTGCTCTTAGGATCCAAACAAATATCCCTTCTCTTCCTCTATCTAATTTTTTCCCTCATGGCCACACCAACATAGTCTCTCTATATTTACCTCATTAAAATTAGTGCAGGATGAGTTCTTCCATATAGGAATGTGAGTTGCTGGAAAGACTTAGAGTTGTCATTCACATTTTGTAGCCCTGTAAATCATTATTTTGAACAATCAAACAAACACAATATCCTTATTATTCTTAGTATCAAATTGAAAGCACCTCAGAGAAAATAATGGGTTGTTTTTCATCCACTATATTGCATAATATCGAAGACCTTATTCTCTTTTGAACAATGAATTATCTTATAGTCATAGTGGCAATGAAAGCTTATTTGGCAATTAAAATAAATGAGTTAATTCTGTGTGCATGAGCAAGGATATATGTTGAAAATACAATAGTGTTTCAAAATTCGAATCTAGCATTCATGTAAATTTAAAATGAGAAAACAATGGAACATTACAAACATATGCAGTCAGCATAAACTTGGATATGAAAGCAATACACCTATTTTAAGATTAGTTTGTTCCCAGAAGAAGGGTGGAGTGATGCTGAGAGAGGTTTGTGGCATCACCTCTGGGAACAAAGCAGTCCTCATTCCTTTTGCAATGATTTATTGGAATAAAGAACCAAGAAGCAAATATTTAAAACTTCTGATCATATGTCACAATTATTAAATCTGAGTGAATATGTGGGTATTTGTTAATCTGTCTAATTTTAGATATTTGAAAGATTTCAAAATAATAAGAATGAAACTTGTAAGAGATGCTTCTTGTTAAAATGGGAAGTGGATAGTAATTCTTTTTTTTCCCATTATATGCAGAGTTGCTTTAATGCCAAAATGGTTCCATATTTTCTCAGTCATTACACACTTTGGCTCTTACATCTTTCTTTGTATTTCCAACATTAAAACTATGATAGTAATTCTTCAAACTGTCCTCTCTAACTTCTCACCAAGATTCCCAAGGAGACACACGAAAAGATGAAAAGACTCAATTCAAAGTAGGGCACACCAACCAGCTAACCACGGAATCTGGGAGGAATTGACTCACAGTGGAAGTTGAACAGGACTGGAGAGAAACATACCTGCTTCTTGGGGATAACCATTTTCCTGGCAAACAAATGCATACCTGTGTGGTGTGAGTGAGTGTAAGCAGAGACCCTAAAAGAAATCTTTGAACAATATGGTGACCTGCGCATAGAGGGGCAGTTTTGAAATATCTAGAAAAGGAGCATGGAGGAAAGCAGAGTGCATGGCTGTGCCAAGTGAAGCAGCCAGCCCTGTTTCCAACCTCTGAGCCACTGTGGATTCTGACCGCGGGGAAAGAAAGGGGGCGTTCAATGCTTTTCCTTTGATTGTACAATGAGGAGGTGTTCAGCCACTGGGGGACCTTCATTTCATGTCCTCCTTCAACCTCACAGCTCAAAAGCCATTTGCAATACATATATATATATATATATATATATATATATATATTTGAGACAGGACATTTTTTCCACATGAAAAGTTTTTCCTGAATCTCTTTATTGCCTATTCCTTTCTTAACTTTATTTCCCTGTAGAAATGTTCAGTATCTAGAGAATAAAAAAGGAAAGGAGAAATAAAAAACCTGAAGCCTGCCATAGCATTATTGAAAAGAACTAAGATTACATTTTGTAATTCTAACTTTAAATCAAGTGAGTTGATTTGCATAAAGTAACATTGATAGAGGCAGATACAATACAAAACTGAATTTCTGGATTTAGAATTTCTCCCCCTACTTTTATTCTTAAGATTTTTTTCTTTTCCTCCTAGGAACAGGTCATGTACTCCTCAAAAGAAGAATTTTTTAAAGAAAACTCTGGCCCACCTTTATCTCTAATGGCCCAGCTGGGAGTTGCTATAATAATCCTTTTGCTTTTATGTGGCCATCTGGAGGCCTATTAAAAACAGTATCTAAAACCAACTCCCCAAGTGTGTGTGCTGAGTTTGTAGGTTTTCACCAAGTCACCAAAACAGGACCATCTTTCTTACTATGAGGTGAATGGGCTTTGGAGAGTAAGAGTGGAGAGAGAAGACACAGCCCAGCACAGCCTGGCCTTTCACCCTGGCCATCCTGGACAGGTAGTAAGAACCGCGGTTGATCCTAATGCATGCTTTTCCAGGGTTCACAGATCTGCAGCAAGGTTTCCTTCCATCGCGGGAGCTCTGTGATGAGATGGAAGAGGTGAGGGAACGTGGGAACTGGCGACATTGAGAACCTAATGAGGCATCATGTTTCAACTACATAATACTCATTTTTGATTTGTGTGGAAGGCAAATATGAAATATTGAAATAATATTTCAAGTTCCCAATTTTGTGGCGCAAATAGAGACACAGAATACTCTGCCCTTTCTGAAAAATAGCCCTTTCATCAAAAGCATGATCCAACTGAGTCGAGGACATAAGGGCAGGTTGTGAAATGGAATTAGATAAAAGTTGGCGTTTGTCTTTAGTAGATTATTAAAATCGCCATGGTAAGAAATCAGCTCATAAAGACAGAACAAGTTAGCAGGGGCCGCAGATCATTTGTCCCAAACAGAGGTTTTTCTCTATACTCATTAACTGTCTTGCCCAGTAATGTGCTTGTAATCCTATTAAACCTGATACATCAAAAATTAAAAGAAAAAAAAATTTAGTTGCTGTCTCAAACTGCACGGCAACTCAGATCTAGGACCAAATAAGATGCATTAATTGCTTTACTGCTTCACCGCAAAGCCACTCTTAAAATATAATTCCTTAATGAAGTCCGTTAATTTGTTCATGGCAGTACACAAGCTGTTCAAAATGACACAGGATTGCACTCTGTTTTCTAACCCCTGCAGTTTCTTCTGTTAGTCACTCTGTCTTGTGTTGTTATCCCATGGATAGTAATTATTTTATAGTGGTTGTAATTAGGAGAGAATTAGGCTTGGTAAACAAAACCTGCCTTCTCCTGTTAATAGCTAAGGATAATAAATTTGGCTCTGACATTCACTATATTTGGACAAGGCTTGGCCTACTTCCAGTTTTCCCAATAAGAACTTTATTATATAATTATGCCTTGGAGGGGCTCATATTACAAGGTAATTTTTTTTGTAAAGACACATATTGCATGGCTTCCAGCCAGTAAGTGATATACTGTAATATATGCCTCCAATAAATGTTTTAAACAGAGCCTCACTGAGCAAAGCCCTGCTGGAGCTGCGTGTTGCTCTTCAGCATGTATTATTTACAGGATTTGTTTGTTGAGCTCTTCATAATGTAAATTATTTCCTTTGCTCACATTGTCCAATGTTATGACAAGTGTCTGTTTAAAAGGCGCATTTTTCCCATAGTGAATGATATATCTCATCTCCCATATTCCAGTCCCATAGGTAACTTCTGTCAGATCATATCCCAAAAGGGACATTTAAACAGCATTTTATACTTTTGCAAAGATTAGCTGTTTTTTTCATAAATTGTGCTTTCTTTGCTTAAACTGATTTATTTTTTTTCTATTTTTAAGACAAATAAAATTATGTCACTGCCAGATCTCTGAGATTCATGTGCCTTTTAGTTGACCCCTACTGAAAAGGCCACCCAAACTCGTATAGATCAATGATAAGACGTGGAATCACAGACTGCTAAAGGGAAGAGAACAACATTTTAAACAGATTCAAAAATCAAGATCATAAAAATGTAACCTCTGCTTAGGAAAATCATGAGAATGTAGGCATAAGTGACATTAACTTTAGTGCTAGAAATAAAAACATGAGATTCTAAGTAAGCATAGAGGTAAAGATATACAGTACTGTTTTCTTGAATGTCAAATTCAAAATGGGAGCCATTTAAAGCTCTTTGTTATTAAGCATAGGTAGCTTACAAAAAGGATTCTATGTAGCCCCCTTTTCCAAGATCCCATCCTAGAGAGAAGATACATCATCAGGAGGAAAGAACATTTCAAAAAAGAAACTTTGGTAGTATTTAAACTGAATGTGATGTATAAAATTTGGATAACCAGCACATGCACTCCCCTTGAAGTGGGTTTCTATCACCTTGCTATAAAAGGCAAGAGTTTTCAGTAACTTGGCATCTCAGCATCCCTAGTACAATTCGCATGTGTGTCAGGGCTTACAAGTCACTTAACGAAGAGGACAACTGCATTTCTAAGTGGTTATAATGTTGAGTAGGGGTTCCTGTTTATTTGGCCATATTTTTTAGGTCTTGACTGTAGGCTCTAGAATTATGTGTATTTTAAAATTCTCCTTTAAAGGGAAACCCCATTCTTCCTTCTCTTTACCCTTTGTGAGTTGACAAAAAGTAGCTACCATGAGTCTCCTAATATCTAGTCCTCACTTTCAGTAGAGGGTCACTTGAATTACAGGAGGTCTGCTCTGGGGTCAAAAGTGTCTTTACTCCATCCTTCTCCTTTCCACCCCAATGCTGACAAGATCTTGGAGACCAGAGTTCTCTGTAATTGTTCTCCCACCGTCACTGTGTACCAAGAATCAAAAACGAGGGCACATCTATCTTTCTGTTTGTTATTCAGCACAGTTTGGGCATTCAGACTTAGTGCCTTCTTCAGGAAAAAGAATTACAATTATTCTTCTGTTCCAAGAACACCATTTTGCGTCAGTAAGGCAAAACTATTAAAAATGCATATTGTAAGCTGACATAATTGCTAAAGAAATTATTGGTAATTCATATTCAGTGTAACATGTATTGAATGTCTACTGTATACACTAAAGCATCATGAATCCTGGAAAATTTAAAAGTAGGTACAGGAACTCACATACAGGCACATGCTAGTTTAATAGCTCAAAGCACTTAATACAGAAATCTTGTCTATCCTCAGGAAATCCCAGAAGAATGTCGAAATCCCATCTCCTGCTCTGGCTGTGATGGCTGCTGCTTATCTTCCTGGGTCTGCAGGAAAAAAAAAAACAAAAGCACAGAGAGATTAAGTTGCATGTTCCAAATGCTGCAGTAAATCAGAGGAGATTGCCCAGGACTGGAAGCAGTGTTGCAGCTAGTTCCCCCTTCTGTTCTTTCTCTGTTGCACCCAAATTACATCTATCCAGGCTTTAATTAGACCAAAGTACTCATTTTGCTTTTGATGATCAGTTGGTAATCAAAACTTCATTCCTAAGAGCAATAGTATCAGGAAAATAGGACCACCAGTGGCGGTCATGTTTCAATTCATAAAATACTTTTTTTCCATCAAAAAATGACCTTTGTGGAATTAGCATTGAATGATAGATTTTATGTATAACCAGAAAAGCAGAAAAGAAGCCAGATTCCTCATCCTTTTCCTCTTCTTTCTTTATTAGCCTTTAATATTGTGAAGTGTTTTATTTGGTTGCAAAAAAAATCACTATTATATTTCTTTAGTATAATTTCTCCTGCAAATGGAATGATCATTTTGATGGCCCTGGAAATAGATTGTCAGGAAGATGAGCTTAGATCTTAAAGGAATGTCATGGAATATTACAGATCCTTTGCTTCCCAAATGTACTTTAAAAAACAACATTACTAACTCATGGGGGACAAAAAGGATCATAGACTTGGAAAAGGCCTATTAAATCATCCCATCTACCTTCCCCCTGCTCATGCAGTTCCCTGGAGGTATTTGTCCATTTTTAACATCATCCTAGAGTTGTCATTCTTGTCTGAAAAGACCCCCTTCCCCCTTATCACTCTAAAGAGAGCACTGTATGTAAAGTCCTGACTGACTAGCTGCCCTGGTCATTGCCCTTTGCACAAAATTCCAGCTAAGTAAGATGTTTCCCTGCCCCTGCCATGACCATGTTGTCCTTGAAATTTCCTATTCACAAAATCCACCTCTAACTTTAGTGTATGGAGTTGGGTCGAGATCTGGCCACTCTATTAAATTGTTCAATCCTTCCCCATAAATCAATTCCTTTAGCTCCTTCATCATGATGGTGGCTGTTATGTGACATCCTCCCATTTTTGGACATGGTTCTCATATTGACATCTCCCAGCCCTAAACAGAGGCTGACATGAGAACTCTGTTTAAACAAACATGAAGCAATCCTCACCTCCCATGAATATTCAAATGATGATACATCGGAGAGGGGAGAAAAAGCTTCAGCATTGAATGAGGTAAAGAAAACCTCACACATAGTATTTACTTACCACTTATCCCATATTGTTTGATAGCAGAAACATGTAGACCCATGGTACATCATTCACAGTAATATGTAGTCTGGCTGGAACAGACAGGAAAAAAGCCAGTTTGTATCAGAGCAGTTAACTTGGCTTCCTCAATTCCTCCCCTGCTGCTCTCCTCATCCCACTTCAGCTGTATTTCACTCCATTAACTACAGCAATGGGCATTTGCACTCAATAAATGTGTGTGGGTGCGTATGTGTGTTTGTATTTGGGAAGAGTTTATGCAGACAACTCCAAATAGCTCCAAAAGTGATTGCACAATTAAAGAAACTGTTTCCCGGCCATGGATTCTTATTTCTTAAAACATCGTCTGTCAGCCTGGCTCCTGAGATTGACGTTCTGATCACAGTTTTTCTTTTAAACCCTAGGGGAATATCTTCTTCATGTCTCTGCCCAACTGTATCACTCTTTTCCTGTCTTTCTTGTAGTCTGATTGTGAGATTAATTCCCAAAGGGCTATCAACAACCACTGAGGATGTTAAAGGAGCGAGTTCAGGGGCAGGTCTTGTAAGGTTCTGAACTCTCTGCAGACTGTTGCAAGCACTTTGAACTTAAGTTTTGAAATTTCCTATTAGCTTGTGAAAATGGTAAAATAAGCTCCAACACAGGGACTTCCAACTGTGGCAAGCTTAACACAGATCTGATCTGCTTAGAGGGGGCAGAGGACAATTTGGGGTTCACCTGAGGGGGTTACTATAGTCACAGCATGGTTTAGCTTTTTTGGGAAAAGAGTGTTTGGGACACAACTTTTATGTTAACAAC